AAACAGAAGGTGCACTGCTCTGGCTCAATCAGGTTCCTGTGGGAAAAGGCTAAACTCAGAACTTAGGGCGAGTAGGCATCAGGCTTGAGGGGCCCGAGACGTGGCCCAGGGTGAGACAGGAACAGTGGCAGGGCAGGGCCGGGCACCACCCACCTGAGCTTCACCTGCCAACGGAAGATGGTGTGGGGCCCACAGCCCAGGTGCAGCCTCAGGAAGTTCCCATCCCTGCAGAGGCAGAGCGGGGCAGGGAGAAGGGCAGAGGAAGGACATGAGACACGCCGCCTCCAAGGCACGCCATCCGCCCATCTGTCCACGCTCCCACCTGGTCTGGAAGATGAGCGTGAAGTCCTGCTCGCGGAAGAGTACGCGAGAGGTGTCCCTGCGGATCTCCTTCACATACACGTGCACCACCACTGAATCTGGCCCCTTCTCGTACGAGTCATTCTTGACAAAAGCCAGGTTCACCATGGATTCAGGCTCTACAGGGAGGCTGTGGTCAGTGCCATCCAGACGGCTGCGGTCCACTGTGTCCTACCCCTCCCTGCCCACCAACCTGACAGCCCAGCCTTAGCCGTGCCCGCCTGCCCAGCCCCACCTTTACCATCCACCACGGCTGCGGCCTCTGCCGCCACTGCCTTCCCCTTGACGCAGTCATCTTTCCCAGAGTCTCTGCTCCGGGCCAGGGCTGGGGAGACTGGGTCATTCCTGGGGGACACTGCCTTCTCTCCGGTCAAAAGGGCTAAGTTCTCCTCTGAGCCCAGGAGGCAGGTCTGGGGGTTCAGTGGTGGGGAGCAGAGCTGCTCCTCGGCCTCAACCTAATCATGGCGAGATTGTGGGCAAGATCAGCCCCGTGGCCAACAGGTGACCCCCACTCCAGCCCATACCCTTCCTCCCATCTCCTCCCATCCCCTAATACCCAAATAGACACCCAGTTCTCACCTGGGTGCTCTGGTCAGTCAGGAAGGGTGGGGCATCACCCCGGGGTCCAGGGCCATCCCTGGATCCTTCCCCCTCTGGCCCTCTGCGAAGATGCACAGCTCTCTTGGCGCTGGGCCCTGCTTGGGCACCGGGGCCAGCCCCCGAGCCTACCTCACCACGGCCCTGGGCCCTCTTCTGGTTCCGGGCCTCCTGCTTAGCCCGGCGGGGCTCGGGGCCTGGCTCCAGGGCAATGGGAGACAGCTCCTGCCCATTCTCCTGGCACCGCAGCCCTGGCACCAGCTCCTGGGTCCCTAGAGGCTTTTTCTGCCAAAGACACAGCAGTCAGAGCCGGTCTCCTACCCTTACCCGCCCACCCTACTCTGTACCGGAACTCACCAGGAGAGAGGGCCACGTAAGCAGAGGCACCTTCTTGGGCAGTGCCAGCTGCAGGAGGCCACCCTTGCGGGGCTGCACTTTGGTGCAAGAACCTTCTATCTCGGCATAGAAGACGCCTCCCCACTGCCGACCACCTAGGGACAGAGCAGGGGCAATGAAACGGGGTAGGGGCACCGGGAGATCCAGGTAGACTGCTGTGCTCGGGGCAGGTGGACACACCTGGAAGGCGCACCACACAGTCTGTGTCTGTGAAAGTGGCATCCACCTCCTCCAGCCGCACGGGCCCAGCTCCCACACGCAGCTTGACAATCACCTCGTCTGCACTCTGCCTCCAATCGAGCAACAAGTCTGCCGAGGAAGTGGCAAAGCCATCAGCAGGGTCTCCACAAGCTCCAGCTGGGGACAAGCATGTAACAGAGACCAGCCCTAATGGGGGTGTTCAAATGCGGGCTAAATTCTAAGCACCCTCTCCCCTCTTCTAGCACCCAAACAGCCATTCGTAACTCACCCTCTTTGGTCTGGTCCTCCCGAGGAGTGGACGCTGACCCTGACAACAAAGGAAAGAACAGAGAGACGTGATGAGGAGAGGCCGCCAAGATTCGACCACTCCACCTGGCAGCATCTCCGGGATGTTAGCCAAGTCCCCGGGCCTCAAAGCTGAGGCCCTAACCAGCCTGCCAGGAGTCCTTCTCTCAGCGTCAGACCACGAGAGAGGCAGTACAATGTCACCTCCCAACGCCCAGTCCATGCGCCCAAGAGGGGAAGAAGATAAAGCCATCAGCACCCTCGAAGGCCGATCTTACCTCGCCTGGGATCTCCGTCCTTGCTCTCCTGGTTTGCTCGATCCTTCTGCTTCTTCTTACTAGTGGCCTCCTCCAGGCCTGAGGGTCCCCTCCTTGGGCCCGTGGCACTGGCCCCGCCAGACATCTTGAGCCGCTTGGTTGACAGCCAGAGTGCCCCGGGGTCGGCAACGGCGTCTGGGTCAGGGCTGCGGCGCTTTCTTCCCGGCCCGGCTATCTTGGCAGCTCTTTGTGGCCAAAGTTTCCAGCAAGGAACTGACAGCCTAAAAACACAGGGCCAGTGATCACTGCCACGGCCGGTGACTTGCTCCCTGGTGCAGCCAGGGCTCGGCAACCCAGGACACTTCTCACACCTGAAGTAGCCCTGGACACTCTCAGGCTATTTCAGAAAGGAAATAAATAATGCAGACAGCAGCAACCGCTTCTGGCCAAGCCTCCTAGAGACCCGCCATAACAGACCTACAAAGCTGGAAGCCTCCCTGAGGCGGTGTCAGGTCAAGGCAGTCAATGGCCTGGGACCAGGCTCCTCCACCAATCTGGACAGGAGCCATGGCTCCAGCCCACGGGGCTGGCGCTCTGAGCAGGGTGCTCACTTTTCCTTCACTCTCACTGGCTGCTTAGTCACCACGGAGAAGCAGAAGGTGGAGGAGGAAGGCAGGGAGGGAGGAGACAAGGCAGCAGGAGAACCAGGCTCTGTGGCTGAAACGGGCCCAGCCCAGGTGCTGCCACGGCCGGAAAGGTCCTGGGGCTAAGGTGCCCCACCTGCTTCCTGCCCGCACCCGTGCAATGTGGTCTCTTTCTCCATCCCAGAAGAGATTCCTCTCCCCAGCCGCTGTCCCAAACACGCAAGGCCTGAAAAGGGTATCTATGTTTCCCTAGCGCACGCCAGTGCTAGAAAGCAGGGCAGTCACCCAGGTTGAGCCTGGAACAGAAATCACCTCCTCCCCAAGTCCCTGCGCTGGTCCTTCTGTGCCCCAGGGGCCTCCTAACCAGTTTCCCACAGAACCGCCTGTGATTTCTGGACTGTTTCTCCAACAAAATGAAGTTTTCAAAACTAGATAGCCAGATAAGTGCGGGGATGAGCCATGATCCAGGGCCACCTGCAGCCTCAAGCACCACCTGAGCCAGCAGGACAGAGAGCGACGTGAGAATGTGAGCGTGTGTGTGTGTGTGTTGGGGGGCATGAGTATAAGGATACCATTTTACCGCTCAGACGTGGTACACGGCTGGATATTTAACGACTGCAGGTCGGGAGTCAAGGGGGAGACACCCGCTTCCCTCTCCTCGAACCCCAGGCCCAAGGCAAAGGTCGCGTCTCTCCCTCCCGCTCGGGGGACGTCGAAGCGGGACAGAGGCGGTCCAGAGACTGGAGCTGGCCTGATACCGCCGCGCGGGGTTACTGACAACAGACCAGCGCCCCGGCAGGGCTGCGACCCAACTCCAGCCTCCAAACCCGGGCGCGCCACCACCTCCTCCAAGAAGCCGCCCTCGCTCGCCGCTGGTGCTCTCCGAGGCAGAAGGCCGGCCACGGACGTACCGTGGCGGCCCCGAAGGCATCGGAGTCCCCAGCACCCCGCAGGGCTCGAGGGGTCGGGGATGGCACGACCCATGACCTTGAACAGGCCGCCCCCGGCCCACGCCGCGGCCTCCCCGCTCCGGTCAAACTGGCGAGCTGCGGACGGCCCCACTCACCGAGCAAATCGCCGCCGCCAGCCCTCTTCGGGCCTTGGCAACCCGCTCTCGGTTCCGGTTCCGGCGTCAGGTCGGTTCCGGTTCCGGCGCGCCCCTCCCCCGTCCCGGCCCCGCCGCCGCCGCCTTAGCCGCTTGTTTTGTTTCGACTTCTAGTTACGGCCGCGGGAGGCGGGGCGCCGGGCCGGTGCCGCACTTCCGGCGGGAGGGGGGGGGGGGCGCGG